CAGCAAATGAATTGGTCTTACTCTGTTTTCTCTATGGATCTGCTGTTGTGCATCTGCTGTTTTATGGTTTTGGTGAAGACATATCAAAGGTTAGATTACAATTATTTTTTTTAAAAAGATGAATCACTTGCCTTTCAGCCTGAATCAAGAAACCTCATGAGCTGGAGGAAGTAGCATACCAAAATACACAAATATACTAGTATAATTGTGTGTGTGTAATATACATATTTTTGTGGTACAATAATGATATTGTTATATTTATGTTCAGTTAGTGTCAACTTCATGGACTCTTAAGCTGAAGGCCATGGACTCACGATGGATCCTCCTTCAAAGGACACACCATGTAGCCTTCGTAGGATTTTGTTCGTTCCTTCGTTTATTCATTTATATAGCACCTTACTGTCTACCACTGTAGTTCCAAAGTGCTGTACATTACAATGAAAGAACCACAAACAGGACAAACAAACAGGAAAGAAAACAAAGAAAACATCCATGTACTACTGTACTAAAAAGCCAAAGAATACCAGCCTGTTCTCATCCCAAGGCGTCATAAACTGACGCTTTACACATGGATGTGTACGCATTGTCACGCATGCGCATTTAATACTCCTAAGCGGTGAGCAGCCGGTAACAAAAAGTAGTCGAAGGAGAAGAACGTCCTCGTCTCAGTTCTCGCGCATGCGCCCATAAGGAAGTAATAGAATAGTCGAATTAAGTCGTTATTTATTTATTTTTTTCGCACAAAAAGTAGTCTCGTCGCTTGATAAACTTATAATTGAGCCGCTGTAGGCACATGGAATATTTAAACCTTTTCTTTAATGACTTCATGGGCCGTCAAGAGCCAGTCCCTTAGGCATTCTATGTAGGAGTGATCCAGCTCTCAGATTCAATCAAAAATATCTTTATTTGTGTTCCGAAGATGAACGAAGGTCTTACGGTGTTGGAACAGCATGGGGGTGAGTAATTAATGTCTTAATTTTCATTTTTGGGTGAACTAACCCTTTAAAGTCACATTTGACCAGATCACATTGTAGGACAGCCAAAATACATGATAAATTCACATTTTTTTGTGATCTATGTGAATTCCAGGAAATCTGCACGCAGCAGTCTTTTTTCACACACATTGGATGCCATTTAAAAAAAAACATGAGACTCTTTGTTGCCCCTTCTTGAGATGCAGTTTTAAAACAGATAATCTAAAGACTTTTAGTTCACACAAAAGTAGGAAACACAAGCATGGTAATATCAGAACCTGTTTAAGAGCAGATTTAGAAAATGAACCTGTATCCATAGAGACCGATTCCTCTGACCAACCATTAGGTATCTGTATTGAGGAAGATACAGGTTCATCTGGAAGGTTCTGGAAATTCAGATGTCCAAGAAAAGGAGGAGTTTGTGGATGCTGAGACTCTTGAACACAGGGCTGCTGGATTTTTTCTACGTATGCAAACTGAATTACATGTTAGTAGACAAGCTCTACAGAAAATAGTTGAGGGGCTTAATGACATTTTACATTTTTCAGAATCCCACTCTCAACAAGGTATCAAAGCAGTGCTTGCAGAACATGGTACTGAATTAGATGATAGTGTTCTCAATAAGATTAATGATGTTGTCTTGGAAACAAATCCATTATTTGTAAGCACTCAAGGAAATGGTGCATTGGCCACTGATCACAGGAGACATCTTTTTTTTAAAGAAAAATTCCCTGTAATTCAGCCTACTGAGTATACATATAAAACAACCCATAAACAAACATTTGTTTATGTTTCAGTAATACAGGTTCTTGAAACTTTGTTGAGACAGCCAGATTTTGCAGCGAAGTTGGTATTTAGTCAGGGGGACAACCCAGGTCATTTTTGCTCTTTTCGAGACGGACAGTACTAAGAAAATGGTCTTCTGTGTGTGCAAGATGCAAGTATCTCTATAAGACTTTACATAGATGACCTGGAACTATGTAATCCTTTGGGGTCCTCAAAAAAATCCATTAAATTACTGCTGTCTATTGCATTTTGTTAAATTTACCAAGCAAGTTTCGCTCTACTCTCCCCCTAATTCAACTGGCTTGTCTTGGAAAAACTGTCGATGTCAGACAATTTGGGTATGATGCCTTTCTTTATCCTTTGATTAAGGATCTTGGATTTCTTGAAAAGAAAGGAGTGTATATTGAGGCTCTAGATACATTTGTAAAGGGAACAGTGTTCTTTGTCTCTGCTGACAACCTTGGTGCACATAGCTTAGCAGGTTTTCAGGAAGCTTTCAATGTCGAAAAATTCTGCAGATTTTGTTGCATCAGTCGAGACCAAATTGGAAATTGTGAGCCAAGGAACTTTCCACTGAGAACTGTGATGCAACACGATTCTTTTGTGGAACAACTCAAGTTGAGGGATACGCCATCTGTGAATGGGGTTAAATCACCCTGTGGTTTTTAGTAAGTTGTCTTTCTTCCATCCAGTTACTGGATTTCCCTGTGATCTTTTGCATGATCTATTTGAAGGTGTTGTCGCGTGGAGTTAAGTTTGTGTTTGAAAGAATTGATTAGAAAAGGTTTCATTACGCTTGATGGACTGAATAACCGCATAAAACAGTTTCCATACAAATTCTCTGATTTGGTCAACAAGCCACAGGCAATTACAAAGACAAGCCTTGCCTCTGGAAAGGTAAACGGTAATGGACATGAAAACTTTTACACTTTTACGTTTACTACCTCTCTTGATCGGGAACTATATACCTGAACAAGAGCAGTCATGGGAAATTTTAATGGACCTTAAAGAGATTGTGGAGATTACAGTGTCCAGTACTTTATCAGAGGGAACATTATGTTACTTGGGGAATAAATTGTCTGACCATCGACAGTTACTCACTGACACCTTTCCTGAATTTAAGTTGAAACCAACATTCCATTGATCACTATGTGGATCTCACACAATGCTTTGGGCCATTAGTGGATCTGTGGACGTTTAGATTTGAGTCTAAGCATAGTTTTTTCAAAAACATAGTTGCTCACTGTTTTAAGAATGTACTACTCACCCTTTCCACTAAGCATCAAAAGCTCATGGCATATCTTCTTGACACACAGCAATTGCTCAAGCCAAAATTGCATGTCGGTAGTGTAAAACAGTGAAAATATCATCTTTGGATGAAAAGCTCAGGACAGTACTAGAAAATAAGTATCCAAATGAAGATGATGTGTCTCTTGCCAAAGAAGTACATTTGTATGGGACCAAGTATGTGAGGGACATGATAGTGTCTGCGGGTGAATGCAGTGGACTACCAGAATTCTTTAGAATTCTGCACATATTGGTGGACAAGCAGTGGAAAGTGTATTTTGTCACCACAAGATTATCATCTTGGTACATGGAACATTATCGTTCTTACCAACTGATTGATAACTGTCACTCAGGTTTAGAGATACTGGATCCAGGGACTTTGAACGACTACCACCCATTGGCTGCATACCAAGTTGCCAGAACTTTGATGGTGACCCCAAGGTCCTGGCTACTGCAGTAAATTAAAATGGTAAGCACCTTTCTGTTTGTATGTTTTCATAATTTTGTAATGTGTAAATGACTTTATTTTAAAGGGTTAGTTCACCCAAAAATGAAAATTAACTCATTAATTACTCACCCCCATGCTGTTCCAACCCTGTAAGACCTTCGTCTTTGGAACACAAATGAAGATATTTTTGATTAAATTTGAGAGGTAGATCACTACCACAGAGGCTCCTAAGGGATTGAAACTTAAAGGCTGGGCCGTCAAGTTTCGTTACATTTGGGGAAACCCAATTGTTGTTTCAGTTGGGTTGAGCTAATGAACATATCCTGGTTTGGTTATTTTATCAAAAAAAACCTTTGATAAAATAAAACCAACAATTCTTGAGGTGCACCAATACTTTTGGCCATGACTGTATGTGGCTTCAGTTTGAAGTGTCATGCAAATATCTGTTCTTCTTTTGTCCTCACAGGCTTTGTTGCTTTTGGTCCACATAAATCCCAAACTCATCCGTAAGATTCGGCTGACCAAACTTCCTGAAACTTTAGAGGAACTGTACAATGCACTGCATCAAAAACTTGAACTTGTGGGTGAATTCTGTATCCAGTATGAAGACTCAGACTTTGGCCAGGCAGTTTGCAACCTTACTGACATAGCAGAGTTGCCTTCAGAAAAGGCTGTTGTAACAAGGTTCAGGGAAGAATGAGGCAGGAACCGGATGACAATAAAAATAAAACTTTATTTAAACAAAATAAACAAACAAATTTCCTGCCAGCAGCCCCTCACGGACGACTGCTGGCTACCGAAAATAAAATATAAAATACAAACAAAAGCAGGCCTGTTCCTCTCTCGATCATCCACTCCGTTGCTCCCCCTTTATGCCTCCGCTCCTTCGTGAGAGATGCGAGACCGGTGTGCTTCGCAGGTGCTGCTCATTAGCAATCGCACCACCGGCCTCGCGACTTTCTCTCACGTCCCTCGGCCGTCCTGCTCACCACAGCTGTCTTGCATATTCTGTGGAGCAATGACGACATGCCATCACCACCACCTCCAACACCAACTCGGTCATCCTCCATCTCTTCCCTTGACACAGCCATCATTGGATCTCCAGACTCAATCCACAGTGTTTCTTCAGTTGTGCGGACATTTAGGAGAAAACGTTTCACAGTGGCCCACTCCATTTCCAGCATCAGAATTCTTATATGACGTTGAACTGATACTCCGCAAGGGTAATGAGACATTTGAAATATCAGGTAAGGGTTTACATGTAACCAGAGATGTGAAAAACGATGGCACAAGAAATATTTTCTGTGAAAGCCTACCCCGAAAAGATGAGTTTGATTCTGATGAGTTTGTATACTTGAAGTATATGGCTGCATGTACTAATATACATGCTTGATTAATAAGCATTAAGTGTACCATATCTGTGTTAGAAGTGCATTTAAAATGCACTTTGAATGTCATACAAATATACACGCATTATACTTTAAAAATATTTGTATTGTGATGATAGTATGCTCAGTTCTACTTTGGGTTTATTCAAATTAGTAAGAAAGTACAGTTTTTAGCTACTTATCAATATCTGTTATTATCTGCTAGGCTACTTTTTGGTTAGCATGTAGGCTACCAGTATACTGAAGGCTGAATTAAATAAGGGACTACTGAACACACTTTCCAGGTGAAAAAAGTACTTTATTGGTCAATAAATACAGTATATTCACATTTTCAATAGTACATTGCCAATACTTGCACAGAATTGTACTTTGTAAATATATTACACGTTTACTATACTAACATTATGCTGATTTTCACGATAAAACTTTACACACTTGAAAAAGAAAGTACACTTTATAGTAACTCATTATGAAAAATATTAGGACAGAACATTGTTTTAATTCAATATCACAGCATTCCCGTATTACAAGATAACGGACAGAAGAAGTCGCAAACCTCTGGTTGAATTTAACATCCGCATTAGAATTGCGTTTTCTTTCCAATTTCAATTTTTCTTATAGCAGCTGTCTGAAAAACAACAAATATTAATATGAAAAAGATTAATATAAAAAAAGAGAGTTATATATGCATAATGTTGTCAAGCTTAAACTACTATAAACACCAATCAACACACACTACCATTATTGGTCAGCTCAAGACAAAGTAACTTTGCTCATAACATGTATTTTTCCCCAAAACTTTTCAAAGAAAGATCATTGACATAATGACACCATTTTTTTCAAGAAATCAAAAATAAATACACAGCTTCATTTTGCAAATAAAAATAATGTCAAAGCAATGTTGTACATGTTATAATGACTAATTAGTTTTTTTGCAGATACATTGGACATGTTTTATATTTGTATTTGTATAAGACAAACAAATGTATCCACATAGATTTTAAAAAGATTTATTAAGATTAAAAATCTAAAACTTACCAGTAACTTCTACTAAGGCAGCATCTTCATCTCTTCGAGTCTGCTTCGACGTCACTTGAAAAGCTTGGCTATGATTGGTCAAATTGAATGTAGCTGAACTGAAAAAGACGTGCTGTTGTTAGACTGTGTGTCAAAATACTACTGCCAAAGAAGACAAGTAACGTTAATGTAATACAAACCTTACCTAGAATCACAACATAATGAGGTTCCAAATGTCACACGCCATGCAAACTTGAAGAAGCTGGGTAAAATCAACACTACAGTATGTCTTCTCAAAACGCTACGTTTTAAAAAGTTAATCACAAAAAAATATCACCTAATCCGCATCGCGTGGTTTCTTCATAGTCCTCTAAAGACATGTTCAAATATAGACCTCTAAATCTAATCACAGTCAAGTAACATTTACGCACAACAGAATATTGTCGGACAAACGGAGGCTCTGAGTGAGGTCAAAGTCCTTTCAGGCGGTGTGAGGCGAGCTCATTATCATAAGAACCAATCACAACCATTCAATGGCTCTGGAACCAATCAGGACTCACGTGTAAGTAGTATGCTATTGTTTGAATTTAAACAAGTACAAACTTTTTTATCATCTCTGGAAAATGTACCTGATCAAATTTAAATATGATGTTGAAATCCTTGTGGGAATTTAAACGTAGCATGCAGTGGACAACATCCTTTTAAGAAGCCCTTTACAAGTAAAAGTGAACATCAGTAATTTTAGGTATGCTTATTGCAATGCTTAATATAGTTGACAAATGTTTCTAATACATTACAAGTTGGTACATTGTATGTATATATATATATATATATATATATATATATATATATATATATATATTAAAATGATAAATGCATACATTTTTTAAATATATTGCAGTAGGCATACATGTTTATAAAGTTCATATATTTTAAACCCACTAAAAGCTTAATAATTTTGCTATGTTCTTACACAAAGTACTCCAAAAATGTATTTTTAAGTAAGAGCAACATAAGTATGTTTTCTTTAAATGCACTAAAACTTATTAAAATTATGCTTGTGTTTAGCATATTTCTTAAAAATATATTTTAAACCTACTAAAAGCTTAATAATTTTGCTATGTTCTTACACAAAGTACTCCAAAAATGTATTTTTAAGTAAGAGCAACATAAGTATGTTTTCTTTAAATGCACTAAAACTTCACTATTATGCATGTGTTTAGCATATTTCTTAAAAATATAATTAAGCATGTATTTATTACCAATGTACTTCTAGTGCATTTGTTAGAAATATGTTAAAAGTATACTTGTGTTGAGCATATTTCTTAAAAGTGTAACAAAGCATCTATTTGGAACCAATGTACTTATACTGCACTTTTTAGAAATATGTTAAAAGCATGCTTGTTTTCAATATACTTTTAGAAAATATACTTAAGTACAATTATTTTAAAGTGTGTTTAAAATTGTATTGTGAAAATAGGTAAAAAAGCATGATGCTATTATACTTTTAATGTATTTAAATATAGTACATTTTTTGTTAGTATATTTGCAATGTACCATTGAAAAAGGGAATATATTTCAAATACAATAAAGTATACTTTTTTTTCACTAGGGATTATAGGCCTACTTAATTTAATGCAGCAACAAATTATTTTATAGTGTACTAGGATCATTTAAAGTTCATTTACCAGCAGTGAAGGTGTTGCTGCTCCTTGCTGTGGGTCTGAGGAGGAGCTGAACACAAGGATGCCCTCCACAAGGTTCACATTTAACCCAAGGGCCAGCTCTTCTGCCTGGGTAATGTGGGGGTACAGGACCACCACCTGTTTGTTTTTCTTTTCTTTTTTTTTTTCTCAACCTCTTTCTTGCTTTTATAAACAGGCAAACGATTATTAAAGGTAGTGTAGGTCAGAATTTTATATAAAAAAAGTTTTTTTCAAATTTGTTTAAACTTTCTATATATATCAATGCATAATTAAAATCTAAGTACTCTGAAAAAAAAAGAGTATACAAATCGAGTGACTCTAGACCGTTTAATCTGCACTTAACACAGCTCATTATTTCCGGGACGAAACAATGGATTGGCTAAGGCGACTGTCACTCTCTCGCAACCATGGCAACCAGCCTTTTGCCACACAGGACCTGCCCACTTGCGCGTATCCAGATCGTACCTGTTTACATGCCCTTGTTTGAGCTTGAAGATGCAAAACTCGACGCAGGTCCTCTTGTCTAAAAAGTGCTCCTTGCCCTGCACTTCGACTACCCCGTCCTCGGCCTCTACTTCCTTTGACCCTAATAGCACGGCCTCTTGCACGACCTCCTCTGCTTCGCCCTCGACCACGGATCTATCCTCGAGCTGACGATGCGGTACTTGCTTTCTTATACTGTCTAACTTGTCTCGGGAGTGTAGTCCTCATCAGAATCAACAATGCTTTCATCAAGCAAACTCTTACATGCAGTCAGAACACCATATGTATGTTATGAATCTTACACGAATATCATCTTCATCACAGTGTAAATGATGGCAAAGGAAAAATGTGTATCATGCAACCTGTTTTTAGCTTTGCCTTATAGATAACTAGCTCGTTAGCGAATCAATAAATATATATTGTAAACTTTACCAATATCAATATGCTAGCTTGATAGTGAGTAATAAAATACTTATTATAAAAAACGTATTTGTTTATCTTCATAATGATAGTTCGATTTTTTTATTTACATGTGTTTCTGACATGATGTCACTACATGCTAGCCTGGTAATACCAGACTCTGCTACTTCACTTTGCTTCGTAGACAGAGTCTGGAATGGCATAATAGAGAAGTGTTTTCTCTCTCACAAGAGGGCGCTTCTCTGAAGTTTAAAATCATTGGTTACCCGTAAGCCAATCAGATAAGTTTATTTATGACGTATGTTATGCGCCGACACGGCCGCATCGAGACATTATGACTGAGGCTATCAAACATATTCTGCCCCGACAGCCAGCTGCTGCCTCCACCCAGCCATCGGCACAGACACCTCAGCCTGCTCGCCGCCGAGGGCGCCCTCCCGCGGCTCCCCTCCCTCCCACACGGCCACAGCAGCAGCCTTCACCCGCTAAACGCCGGGCCAAGCGGCATTCCTGAGACGGGCTGCTCAGTGTTGGGGTCGAGTTTTTCCCAGGAGGTGGTAGCAGGCCCCCTCTTTCCCCCGGTGGAGGGCCGAGGGAGAATCTTTTGTTCTCAGCTCCCCGCTGCTCACCCACGTGTGGGCAGCACCCTGAGTTGGTTAAAGAAAGACTTGACACCATCACTGAGCACACAGAGCAAAATGAAAGTGCGTTACGCCCCCGGGCCTCGCCACTCTCATTCTCCTCTGTCTCTGAGGGCGCGGAAGGAAGCGGCTCTCGTCTCCGGACCACGCTGCTCCCTTCCCCCTCTATAGCCAGACCCCCGGCAGAGCAGACCCCCGTGGAACGCTGGTCCTTCCCTGGTCTCCTCTGTCGGGGAGCGGAGCTTGATTCTGCACCGGGGGGTAACTCCTCCACGTCTGCAGGTCTCTCCGCCCTGCTACCCCTCCGGGGGACGTCTGTGGCTCGGATGATCCCTCTGGATCGGTTCCTGGGAGCTTTACTATAGCTCCCCGGCCTATCCCGTTGGGTCGCCCGAGCTATCAGGCTCGGCTATGCGATTCAGTTCGCACGGTCTCCTCTCCGCTTCCGGGGAGTTCGCTTTACCGTGGTTGGTGGCAATGCCCCGATCATGAGAGCGGAGATCGCTACCCTGCTGGCGAAGGGTGCGATCGAGAAGACAGCTGTGAAGGTGGCGTGATTACACAGGAACCCCCATTCTCCGTCATCCGACGTAACTCGGAGTGACTACGAAAGGGAACGTCTCGGTTACGTATGTAACCCTCGTTCCCTGAGTAGGGAACGGAGACGTTATGTCTCCCTGCCACTTCCGCTGTACCGCTGGGTAGACGCCTGAGTTCAGTCTCGGCTCCTCAGCGAAGACATACTGCGGTTACGTCTGCTTCCTCCTTTTATACCCACGAGGTGGGGCGGAGATACGCTATGCAAATTCCGCAGACCCAAGGCATTTTCACGCCATTGGCTCGTTTTTTAATACTCGAAGAGGATTGGCTTTCTACGTGAAACCCCCATTCTCCATCATCTGACGTAACGTCGAGGGTTACATACGTAACCGAGACAATTTTGGTCTTTTGATTTCCGCCACTTTATCTCTGCTGCCCTAAGAATGGTCCGGTTTTCACAACCTGATTTGTCCACTACCTGATTTTCAGTTTGGCTTGTTGTTGTGCTCACAATGCACATGCCAGCACAGCTGTAGCTGCAGGGCTATTCATAGGTGTGCCTTCTAAAAGATCAGTGAGAGAAAAAAGGAAATTCTGGACAAATTACTCAGCAGGGTCCCTCCTGACATCAGCAAGCAGGGCCGGCTCTATCCCTTTGGTTGCCCTAGGCGAGATTGATTTTTAGCGCCCATTGATTTTTAGCGCCAAACATGCCCAAAACTGATGATGATTTATTGATTGATGATTGATGATTTATTAAACTGAACAAAAATGCTCTTATAATCACTCCAAAACTTCAACAAGTTGAAGGATCATCTGTAATTAATTTTTCATACAAATACTACAAATAACGTTCAAGGATATTTCTATCATCCTGCATAGTTGCATTGTACGAATACGTTTTATCTGTGTAATGTAATGTAACTTGTAGATAAATTACAATTACTACCTTGCTGCCACAAGGCTAAGGGGGTTTCGGTGTCCCCGTAAGTAAATGTTGTGCATTTTAATGTGCAAGTCATTTTTAAATCAAATTTAAATATTAAATTCAATCTGGTGCAATTCAGTGTGCAAATTGAACAAAGAAAAAATCAAACCTCTTTTAGTTACAGTGTCTGTCTACATTACACTACTACATAATAGGCTATAGGCCTATTATAAAACAAATGCAATGAAAAATATAAGAAGCTTTCATAATTAGTTTTGTACAAATGTCTATACTGGTAAGTAAGCTATACACTTGGAAGCAACTCAGTGCCACCAATTAGGCTAAGCAAAACAAAACGAAAGGGCTGCCAATGTACGAGTTTTATGGGCCGTTAAGACAAAAAATAAATAAAAGTAGGTTACGAGATGTATTAGCCCAAAAAGCACGTCGGTCACCGGGAATCTCAAGTAGGCTACACCGGGAAGTACATTTATTTTTTTTGACACTTTAATGGCTGGGATGAGAAGGCTTACCTTTATACTGGGCTTTCTTTTTATTTTGTTGCTTTCACTGTATTCGTCCCTGTGGACCAGAAGGTTTATAGCATTTCATTTTCGATCAACGCGCCAGCAGCTGAGCACGTGCCTAACGTAACGTAACCATCCCCCAGAAAATATCGACAATATTCATCAATTCAATCTAATAATCAGTAATTAAGTGAGTAATTAAACATATGGCTGAGGGGCGCTTTAGGATGATCATGTTTAATAAACATTTTTTTTTTGCTTCTCATTTTAACTCTGTGATTTCTCGAATAATGGGGAGTAGCAGAGAATGTGAAGTTGGTCAAGGGCGACACTAGAGCGAGCCCGCAGCGCCCCCAATACATTTGGCGGGTTTTTTTACATTAAATGTAGAGAGAAATGCAGACTAAGAATGCTAAGGTCAAAGGCCATACTTAGTCAAAAAGTTCTAGACACAGTAGAACTAACAGTTATGTGATCGCCATCAACTCATCGCATATTACTCTAAATGATTAGACACTGTTGTACGTGGAATGCCATGGTGCATTCGTTCGGTAGCTGCCGCTGTTAAAATCTTTTTTAGCGTTCACGGTTTTGGTGTTTATTCAACATGCAGTTCACGCTCTGCTAATGCAGTCCCGAACAGCTCATTTAACGGCAACCCGTTCGCTGCACTGGCAGAGCGTCTCACTGATAATGTCCAGTATCACATTGAATTGGTGCACCATACTAAATCCATCCACATTTCTACAGTACCTACTGAGGATGACGGAGATCCTCATGACTCATACTCAAAATTAATTAAGTACCTCAAAAACCTACAACTTATTTCAGAAATTAAAATCTGTAAATACGGCGCACAAGAAAAAGCAATGAACAGCAAATGATGCTGCCCTTAAACATTCATAATACGGCTACCAATCAGAAAACGTTGGTCAGAGGGGGGTTCAAAATGCAAAGATGGGGTATGGAAAGGTTTCAAAAAAACAAAAAGTTTTATACAAAATAATTGTATACAAATTTCCAACTTACAAAGTGGTCTCACAAGGCAGACCACATCTCAATTGGCAATGAATGATCAAACTGGAACTTCCTGGCTGGCCCCATGTTTTACAGTTGTGGCTGAGAAACTCTGTCAAAACTGTTGCCTCTGCGCAGTGAATAATGTGGGAAGACGGAGTAAGCCACAAACAAAAAAGTTATCCCAAGATGGGTATTACCAAAAAGATTGTCCAGGGATAATGGGATACATTTTAAAAATTAATCACAAAATTGGCAAGCAGATTGAGATTAAATTTGAAAATCATCCACAAAGTGGAGCCTCTGTGGGGCAAAGGGCAAATCAGACTGTAAAAAACAATTGCCATATGACTTGATGGCCATAAAAGCCTGAAAGGGACCAGGACAGCTCAGCCCACATTGAACCTGACGACGCGCAAACTGAATCAAGGCGTCAAATACATCAGTCAAAAAGAAATCACAGCATCTTGGAGGAAGAAAATGTTGAGACATCTGTGGGACTGGCCAGACAAGCATGGGGTCTGAGATCATTAGTGTGACAACAATAGTCTCTATTCAAGTAATTTTGATTATCTACATTTTTAGAATTCATTCTAAAGTTCAGTTTATGCCTTTGTTACTTTCTCTGCTTTTCATAGCACTTGTAGTTTTGTATAATGCTTGACGTATTCATGCACTAATGAGAAAGTTAAGCAAGCATTAAGCAAGCAAGAAGGACAGTGTATGTGTACAAATGATTAAGTTGGAGAAAAATGTCTTTGATTCCATCCAAAGCCATAGGAAAATTAAAATTTTATTTCATAGATCTGCAACCCAGTGGCAAGGAGAGGTACTTGCACACATTTTACTTCTCCCTTGCAACAAAACCATAAAGTGGTGCAAATATTAGCTAAGTCCTCTCTGTGCAAACAACAGGCAGAAACTCTACAGTCTTTACAGGCTACAGAGATGCAAATGGTAAAGTGTTTGCTTGCAACACTTGACCACTTGCTTACAACACAGCAACACAACTGGTGATCCGATGCTCTGAACACAGATCTGACTAGTTTGTAGTAGGCCTACATCATAGCAATCTGCTTTATTTCTGAATGCATGTTATATGTGACTTACCGTTCAAATTATTTCTCTTATTATTAGCAATATATATATATATATATATATATATATATATATATATATATATATATATATATATATATATAGCTAGATCAAATTAGTGCAGAACCAATTTGTCACGTGCATCATCAAAAGTGGTTGTTGAGAAAAGTGCTGAGCTGAATTTTTGTTCCACCAGGGACAAAGGGAGGGACCAGGGACCAGACTCTTGTGGAATCTGGTTCTGAAAAATGGCAGTCGTCATTCTGAAAGGGAAACAGACACAGGGAAAAAAGTTGAGTTTAATTTTGAATCTTTACAAGTCAAATTCCCTTTAACCCAATTGAATAGCCTAAGGATTCTTATGCTTGGATTGACTTGTTTACATTTAAAAGGTTGTAGGCCTATATATGGTTTGTGTCAAAAAAATAAATAAATATCAATGTGATTTATGTAAAGATTCAAGATTAAACTGTTTTTATTTTCTCTGTATAAGTTTCCCTTTCAGACTGACAACTGGAATTTTTCAGGACCAGATTACACAAGGGTCTGGTCCCGCCTGTATCAAGCAGGACACACACATCTTAAAATATAGGAGATGGGAGTGGTGATACTTAAAGGGGCCATTCACAACCATCTGTATCCAGAAACCCCCTACAAAGTGGTGTCTTGAGTTTTTGCACTCAGAAAACTCACACACCACATGTGTCTCTCTCAGCTATGCTTTTCTTACTCTTAGAGTCAGATTTGAGCAATTGATGTTATATATATATATAATAAAATATATACTGTCTAAACATGCATATTCAATTCCCCTATGTATTCCATGCCACCACAAGGTGAGGGCGACATGTTTATTTACAAAGATAGCCTTTTAATGTTGTAGTATGAGGCAGACATGCGTGTATGCGCTCACTCACAGCTTTTTTTTGAGGTAGGTATTTATCTTTGTAAAGAAAAGAAAACATTCTGGAGCTGTTTTCAATCTCTTCCCGTAACTTTTATAAATAAAACCGTTTCGTTAATGAAACTTGTAATTAAACCAACAAGCTTCACTATTAAGTTACTCACTCAAGTGTGTGTTCTTTCTTTCTTTCTTTCTTTCTTTCTTTCTTTTTTTCTTTCTTAATCCCCCCTCCCCTCTCTCTCTCTCGACTCATGCAACCCGAGACTTACGCAATTGACCCAATTCTCACACTCTCACGCCACACCCCCGATTTCTCAGGCAGAAGTGTCAACCCGGTTGGTCAAATGCCTCAAAGATGAGTATATCTATAGATCTACCTGTTGAGCCACTCGTGATCGAGTTAAAATATGAAGAGTTCAGATGCAAAAGCCTCTAAGTGCCATTTGAAATTTTCTTCTAGAATGATCATTTTTATCAAGCTTGTATAATTAAGTTCAGTGATTTCACTTAAATGGCAATGATAATTACCTATTAATTTTTATTTAAGTGAAATTACTGAACTTAAATATACAAGTTTGATAAAAATCATCATTAAAGAAGAAAATTTCAAATGGCATTTAGAGGCTTTTGCATCTGAACTCTTCATATACCAAATTAGTTAAAATATACCGTAATCTAGTGCGAGCGATCGTGCATGCAAGACAGATATTTTGCACCAAACCACGTGCGCATGGCAGAGAGGTAAGCGAGCGAGAGACCTTGTGTTTGCAGACAGCATACCCCTCACCCCACTTGGAGAAGTCTCACACCAAGCTAAACTCTAAAGTTATGCATCTATGCTTTATTTCACTTCAGAATTCTAGAATTCAGAAATCTGAGTTGTAGATAAAAACTAATTATTTGTGGACTATATATCTGTTCCATCTGACTTTACATTTGGAGTCAGGGCACAAGATAAACATACATACATACAGGGATCAGAATAACAACACAAATACACAAAAGATACCCGCCCAAAAATAAAATAATATGTACCAGTGCATACAGTACACTATAAGTAAGCCTTCCATTAAAAAACATAAAAACAATCTCTAAATATGAGGTTAACTGAGACTATTTAGCAGGGTTATTGCACAGGGAACAAAGAAGTATTTGCCCCTATTGCACTTGAATAACCTTACCAGCCACCTTCACAATGTTGTTTAGATGGTTTTAAAAAGTAGAAAAAAGTAAAGACAGATTCAATAAAAGACTTGTAAAACACATCATTGTCTTGTCAACATTGAAAACATTTAACTTCCGGAGGAAATACAGACGTTGCTGACCCTCAAATTGCAGCAGAATTAGCATCAAATTTCAAGTCACTATCAATAATTGTTCCTAGATATTTATACTGTTCTGCAAATTCAATTCCGGTTCCTTTAATGAAGGTCTGAGACTATGATTTGGATGATTTCCTTCTAAAATCTATGATCGTATCCTTGGTCTTTATAGTATTTAATTGGAAGAAGACATCATCACACCATTCAACAAACTCATCTACCACCGGCCCGTTCTCGGATTCAGTCTTGTTAAGCAAGCTGATGATAACTGTATCATCAGCAAATTTCAGGATGTACCTTTCCACGTGCTGGCTTCTACAGTCATTGGTGTAAAGAATATACAGTAGAGGGGACAGGACACAGCCCTGAGGAGAGCCCGTGGAGGAGGTGCGCTGATCTGACAGAAAGCCATTTACTCTAACCCTCTGAGACCTACACGTTAAAAAAAATCTACAATCCAGCCCACAAGGTTGACTTTGTATTGATGATCCTTCATCATTGTCTTCATGTTTGTGCAAACCGTGATCAGAAAAAAATGGAGGGGGACTCTTTGACTTCTGCCAGGAAATAACCACACACACACACACACACAAAAGCGTCACCCATTTTGGTTTTCTAGAAAAATTTTGTTGAGCACTGTGACATATCTGCATTTCTGCTGCAGTTAACAGCGTCATCAACCACAGTTACCAGGTCTGACGTGACATACAGGAAGAGTTTCCTGCATAGGTGCTGTAGTTTCTGAACAGATATGCACTGAGTCACTTGCTCAAGCGCAAGCAAACCACTCACACAGGTAAGAGTGCTATTCTTTTCTTGGAATCTTAACATTTGTCCAATAGCAATTCAACAAGTTGAAGGAAAGATCAAGTAACAACCTATCAAAATACAGACCATTCTTTGACCTTTTCCCTTTTGGCTCCATTAGGATCTCTGTGTGTCAAGATTTTTGAGGAGTAGTGGTCAGCAAGTGTACACCAATTTTTTGGCTGTCACAATGCTGCAGGAAGGCAATTTAACCTTGAACGAATCCTGTAAGATTCACGATGGCATACTTTCACCCTTCGTGCCCATTGGCTACATTGTCATCTGTTGCATCGGTCTGCTCTGCAACACCATCACCCTTTACATATTTTTCCTTCGGCGGCATACAGACTCTTCTATGGCAGTATACATGCGGCATCTCGCCCTGGCAGACACTCTACTGGTCCTGTGTTTACCCTTTCGGGTTTACTACCACAACAAAGTCGGTCCCTTCTACTTGTGCAAGGTGGTGGGCATCTTCTTCTACATCAACATGTATTCCAGCATCCTGTTTCTCAGCCTCATCAGTCTGGATCGCTACTTGAAAATCGTGAAGCCCGTTTGGGTGTTCCGGATCCAGAAGACAAAGTGGAGCCACATGGCAAGCTACATCATCTGGGGTGTCCTCCTTTCAGGAACGATCCCCATTTTGATAAGCGACAGTCACAAACATCCGTGCGACAAAGTTTGCTTCCACTTTCGCAGCAAGGGGACTATCGGTGGGATCATTAACCTGACAACAGTGGTGCTCTTCCTTGTTTTTTATGTGGCCTTTCTTTGTTTTTATGTGAAGATAACTAATAAACTCATGACTATGTCCATGGGCAATGGTGACTCTAAGGCACAGAGTCGCAAAAAGAGGGTCATCATGAAGACTTTATTGGTACTGGCCATTTTTACTTTGTGTTTCTTGCCTTACCATGCAATTCGAATCCCATACATTCTGGCTCAGATGAACGTGATCGGGGATCTTCATAGCCAACAATTGTTGCACATCTTAAATGAGAGCACCTTGCTACTGTCCACTCTAAATAGCTGCCTAGACCCAATTATCTATTACTTCTTAAACAGTGCGTACAGGAAAACTATACTCTGTGCCATTCAGGGCAAGTTTAAAAACATGTATGCTTTAAACAGAAGGAGAATCAGCATAAACCGCTCGATTACTGAAATTTAGCTTTAATGGATGACTTTTCCATTTGTGACTACATGAATCAAATTTTGTAGATTCAACAATCTAAGATATTTAGTTTTAACTGATGTACTCTATTGATTTGGGCACACATGACTGAATTTGTTTCAGATGATCTAAAAAAAACTGCAACACTTTTACAGTGCAATACACTGTTATTGTAAAATGCAGGAAGTTATAATGAATTAAAAATAAGCAGGTGTGTCTAAACCTCTAGTAGTGTACGTGTGTTTAAGAATTCCTTTAGAGTTTCTGTAAATATTGAATATGTAGCTGTAGCATTTGCACAAGCATTGTTCTCAAATGGGTTCGCTTTGATTAAGATTTTGTGGTTGTCCCAAAAACAATAACAAAATGGTTTATTTAAAATGAAGAATGGATATTGGTATGAAACTGCACAGGCCCAATAACACATACAGTTATTTACATGATATAGGCTAAATTGAAAAATGAGAGGTTGATAAATGTGTTATTTCAGTACTTTTATGTTTTCTGCAGACACAAATTAAAAACAAATTGTGTTTGACACAAATCCTCATCGTAAGTGAACCTAGAGGTTCATTTTTTTGTTCATTTATCATATTTTTGGGGATGTCACAGAACATGTCAGTGTTGGCATCTGTATTATTTGTCTAGCTTCTACCAAGAAAAATATTAATCTAATTTTAGATGCACAGCTGAGCTGTTGACTTTAACAACAAGATATGGGAAACATTACCAATCAATTGAGAACCCCTGTGTTTGAGAACCCTGACTGTTTATTTGTGGATAGACTTTTTAACATTTCCTTGATTAATGCATTTTACTGAGAGCATGACATTTAAGTTATGTAAAAAAAAAAAGACCTTTGTAAATGCTGTGGTTTTCCCTTGTGAAAAAGATCCGATGTGGTTGACATATTTACTGTTGTGTTATGAGTCAACCATGTTTGTGGTGATAAATGTGTTCACCATAGCCTCCAACTTTCTGTCTTATCATGAAAGTAATGTAGGGAAATGATTATTTAAGGATATTTGCACTTTTTATTTAAACAATAGTGTGATTTGATTTTATTGACACTTAAGTAACTTAAAACTATTATCCATATTTAATACTGTAATAGAAACCTGATCAATATGAAATGGTGCATGATGTTTTGTTATAAAATGCATTACTGTGTAAGTACTGTACAAATTTGCACAATGGCTAAAAGCCATTATTGTAATTGTAAATATAAATTGCAAACACAAATATTGTATTGTATTTTTCATGAGTATACAATTTTAAATGAATAAAATTTAATTAAATTATCTCAGTGTATATCAGTGCATTGTTTGCTGCAGAAAATTCTGTAGGTCTCAGCTGATTTCTTAGGTTGATATGTGAGCTTGATATGATGCTCAAAGCTGCTGTATGAGTTGAAAGTCGTCACTGGTTTCTGATCATCAGATCTGAGCAAACACTGAAGAAATCATTGGGGTTTTTTTTTTCTGCAGCGTGTGGTTGCCTCGCAGAATCCCGTTTGTTGTTTCGACTTCAGATAATTTTCCACTTAATAGCCTTGTCATCTATTTAATATGCGCTAAATACATACTTGCACATTTAAAAAGCGTTTTATAATGTAATGTTATAAACAGAGGCAAAAAATCTGAACTTTGCAGTCTTTATATGTAACGCTTTAACATTTTTAATCTTTTATTTTCCATGGGTTTGGTGCAACATAGATTATGAAATAATATTCAGAGCAAATTATCTGTGAAAGACTTGCCTGATCAGACCCTCAGTGTTTCTTATGATCCTGATGTGGTTACATGAAGTGAGAGGTCACTAGTGCATTTGCACGTATGACCTTTCATAGTTGCACAGTTACGATCTCAGAGAGTGAGCTTCTCGCACCACAGTTCCTTCATCTTTAAACACATGTTCCTTCTCTATTGTGCCTCCTTAAAAGAATTGTCCCCCAACAATGACATTATTTCATAGGGCTGGCCCAAGAATTTCTTCTAGGCAAGAATTCTGCCTAGAATGTTTTTAACCTTCTATGGTTTTAAATTGTAACAGTTAACCCAAAAGAGGGGTATATATATTATATATATATTGTTCTGCAGAACAATTACAGGGGTTTTTTATTCGCTTTGGTACTGTTTTTTACAAGTAAGGTGTACATTTTCCAAACCCTAAGTACAAAAATCCAACATGATCACGCTTATGTAACACATCTAATCATTCTTTCCAAACCTGATCTAATGCTTTCATTCAGTTGCACATATTTTCAGTCCACATAATCATTGTTCCAAACACAATATTATTGTAAATGTAATGAGAACATTTAGTTTAATCACTGAAACACAATGTTCTTCTTTTAATTTAGCACTTTTAAGTCAGTTCGTTCAACAGCAAACAATGCAAGATGCATGTTTCAAATCAACCTTGTTGCTGAATAACAGTAATACAGTCACAGAGTCAAAGAACCATCAATAGGCTGGTCCAAGTAATATTTCGGATGAGACAGCAGAGAATACAGCGACAGAAAGAACTAGTGCACTTGTAGTTAGTGGTGAAGTGGCTAAATGCTGTGAATTGCATTGAGAACAGATTTAAACCCCTGACCAGAAGGAGCTGTTACTGATGCTCAAGTGTCTAATAGTGATAATTAGAACGGAAAAATTTCTGGCAATGTTTACAGTTTTTTTTGATTGCTAAACGACAGTGAGCACAACTGGAGCTAAATGTGCAAAACTCTAACTACAGTCTGCACTAAGAACAGTCACCTGAGCACAACTCTTAACACACGGCTCAAAACAGGCTCAGTGTGCACAACACTATGCACAACCCTCACTGAGATAACACTCTGTCACTCAGAACACACTGAGATAAGAGGAAAAACAGTAGCATCAAACACCAATGCAGAAAATCCGAACTTTTCATCTTTACAGTTTCAACAATTTCTGTGACGTCATACAAAGTAATATTTTCTTCAAAGAAAAGAGTGACATTCTTTCATTTGATATATTTACATTTTTAGAACATAACAATTGAAAATTAGCAGTTTGCTTCAGTAGTCTGTAGTATTACAGTAATGAGAAAAAAGGTAGAAACTAAAAGTACATACTGTAATACTGTAACCCGGCCTCTCTCAAGCATCAGGCCACAAGTTTTCAGCCGTTCAGCTGAAATTGTTTGAAAATCAGCAGTGTGTGAAAGGCACAAGGTTGAAATTTATTCTGTTTTGAATGTGTGGTTCACAGTTTTGACAGCAGTGTGTTAGCATTTGAACAAAGTGCTGTAAATCCACAGTGCTGTGCAGGTTGTGTTTAAAGTCATCATGGGGTATGTGTGTAGAGTTTTGAAAACTGTGTTCAAGCAATGAAAAACAAACTAGAGTTTGGTCCGCATGAACTGCTGCTGTGCAGACTAGAGTTTTGCACATGTAGCTCCAGTTGTGCTCCACTGTGGTTAAGCAATCGAAAAAAAATGTAAATTCAGAAAACTGTTGAGAATGTAAATGGTAAACCTGTTGTAAGTGATTAAAAAGTTCTTAGGAAACCGGTTGAGCAAATTGAAGCTGTGAATGAGATAAGAAGGCCAGGTGAACATGGAAAGTAGTGAAGAAGTACAATCTAACACTGAAAGTGGAGAAGTTTTTTCTTCACCACAGGTGTGTTGGAAACTGATAAGAAATTGGGTAATGTGGATGGTGATGATAATGAGAGTGTTCAAACTGATTTCTTGGACGTATCTGATGTCTCGCAAATTACCCGTGATTTTCTGCTAAAAATAAGATGTTGTTTTTGCCATAACTTCCAAAAGCAGACGAAAAGCAAAGGCAGAAGCCCTTAACATCAGTTACTGTTCTGGCTCTGCAGTATTGCATTAGTTCGCCGCTGTATTTCTTTGTCCTTCCTCTGGGGGTCAGTATCTCCGTTAGCGGGTTTAGTTTTTCTTCTATGACTTTTTTGCGTGCGCTAGTTGAGCGCTTGTGAGTGATGTGCGAATGCAACAGGCAGAAAAGTTTGTCTCACGCGGTTCCTGAGGCGTTTTCATTTCTACTCTCCTCTCAGACCCTGTATATCTCCGAGAAGCGTTGACATGCCATAATCTGTAAGTACTTAATGGTCTATGTTGTTTTTCTATATAATCTGTTATTTTAGAGGTTATGTTAACTCTTCTTAGCTAACATTACTAGCTTCATGTTTGGTATGCGATCAAGCAGTAATCTATGAGTCAATGTTTGCTCTTTTTTTCTCTCAACCCGGTCGTCAGGTTGTACTTATAAGTTGTTAAAGATTGAACAAATAGTCTTGGTGTTTCCTGTGTAGCTTTGACAAAGTCTGGGTGAGTTTGTGTTCCACTAAATCTAACTAAAAAGGGAAATCCTGTTATATTACAAAATAATCTAAATTTACAACTTTCTTATTCAGTAGGGAAATATATATCAGGGTCTCAGGTATGTTGAACAGTATTCTGAGCCGCTTGTGAATCTGTGTATTGAAACTGCAATTATCTGCAGTATATATTCAGCAGTCCGCATTATAGCTACTTGATACAAGCTGTATACCGCTGCACTCTAGAACGCCATTATTTAGCTTTACCGCTGCACTCTAGAACGCCATTATTACGTTACAATGAAGTTAAGGCATTCCTTCTAATGGAAGTTGTACCCACCAGCAATGTGTTCCCGCACTGAAGTTACGGTGTTATACCTATATGTAATTGAAGCACTTTTGCCACACGCATTAAATAAAGTGAAAATAAAATTGTTGCAGTGGTTGTTTTCATTAAGAATGGCCTATTCACGTGGGAAAATTATGGTGGAGATTGCTTTGAAACGCAAACACCAAGATCAAGGTAAGGATGATATGGATACATGAAGAAAAAAAAAATCTACTTCAGATTTTGTGAAATTCAGCAAGGATACTGGTAGCCTAGTTAGCTTGCTAGCTAGCTAGCGATGCAAACTTGGGCTAAACTAGCTACTTGACACACAAAACACACTGTTCCGATTCACAAATAGCCTATGATGGTATGCCAGCTGTAAGACACCATAAATCAAAGCCTGGATACTATTAACTACTACTAGTAGTAGGCCTACAAATTTTCTCGTTTCATACAGAGGGCCAATCTGACAGTCCACTCACTGACAGAAAACAACGCAATAGTGATGGGACGTTCGCGAATGAGTCGGCTCTAAGAGCAGAGGAACTGTTGAGAGTGGCAAAAGAATGGGATGTAGATGGAAAAGTGGTCTGTTGTGTTACTGACCATGCAGCTAACATTATCAAAGCCGTGAAAATATTAAAGTGGACCCATCATCCAAGTCTTGCCCACACAATCAACCTGATTCTAAGAGATGCCCTGAAGGTGATGAAGCCCACTTTGGACAAAGTGAAAGCAGCTGTGGAATACTTCCACAGGAGCACAGTAGGTGCTGAAAAATTAAAGTCTACACAACGCCAGATGGGAATGCCTGAGCTAAGGCCTAAACAAGACTCCCCTACAAGGTGGAATTCAACATTTTGTATGTTGAAACGGTTTCACGAGTCAAAGGATGCCATCATTTCCATCCTGGCCATTGTCAGTGTGCAGAGTCTTGGAGCCATTTGAGCAGGTTACTGTATATATATATATATATATATATATATATATATATATATATATATATAATGTAATATTAAAATACAGGATAAAGTCTTTACAGAATATATATACAGTACATATATATATATATATATATATATATATATATAAATAATCTCTCTTTTTAGCCATGTGACAGCCTCAAAAATGATACTCCTATGTGTCATGATGGTAGTGAAGAAGAGAACCCAAAAGCAAAGGCAGATCA